AAATAAAAAAAAAATTGTATGTTTCTGTAAAAAATAAAAAATTATTGAAAAAATAAAAGCGTGCAATACTTTTGTCCCCCCCCCGGTAGAAAAATATTAATGTAGTAGGTGAAAAATTAAATATTCAAATATTTTATTTTTAAATACAAATTAATTTTCCGATTTTAACTTTTTATAAACTACATTAAAACACGACACGTTAACTACTTTAACAAATAACATTAATAAAATTTGATTACGACAATGAAAGTTTATTAATTTCAATATGCGAAAATATTGTATTTATTACATTAATCATTTATTTCCAATCTTTTTTTTTTTTGATAAGTTTCAGAATGTTTTATTGAGGTAAGATTTACTTATAGATTATATTGGTTTGGAATGTTCAATGTTTATATAAACTTAAACACTGGTTAAACTACAGGACCTTTTATCGTTATACGAACATATTAATCTAATTTTACAAATGGATAAGATAATAATATAAGATATATTTGATATAGGCCGTTCCCACCACAATGATTTATTGAATGATTTGATTGGGCTAAGAAAATAAAAAAAAAAAATAGAGCGTGATTTAAGTCAAAAAAATCCTTGAGCTACAAACCATCTTTTTTTTTTTCACTGATTGATTTAATTTTACCATTGAATAAGCAACCAAAAAGCTTGCATAAGCGAGTATTTCCTTTTTTACATTTTACACCATGGTTTTTCAACAGTCTTCGACAGCGAGATATTATATTATAGCAAATAAAAAATGTCAGAATGTTCAAATGCAAAGAATATTCAATATTTATAACCTTTAAACCTTAGTTATGCTATTTATTTTTTCCCTCCAACAAATGCAAGCATTCATCATCGGCCAAGACCTAAAATTAGACAGATTTTTCCTCATTCAAAAACATTTTCGCATTACTCTTGCCACTTTCGCGTTATTGTGGTTCGATTAGCCATCCAGCTATTACAGTATTTTAGATTCTCTAATGTAACATTTATATGGAAACAAACTGTATGCATTATGGTAACTAGCAAATGAAACAGGATTACGAGTATTAGAGCAAACTCTTGGAGTAAGTCAAGGGTCTTTAGTCAATTTTACTGATCGATTATTGAATGTGTTAATAGACTTATAACAAAAATGAATTACATCGCCACAATTTGGTAAAGATAACTTAAGGAAAACATTTCCTGATTTTTTGTTAATTGTGAAAGGAGTACGAGCTAGAGCTAAAGCCATTGTTAGTCATGGTAAAAAGATAAAAAGAGATTGCTCAACCACTGATCTCCATCTTTATTTCAATTGATCGTAATTGATCGTGCATCATCTCACTCACTAATCATTGCAGTTGCTGCGTCATTAATTTGAAAAGTGAATCAGTTAAAGTAGATCGATATCCGGTAGCTCTTCTTTAAATCCCATTAATTCTGTTTGAGGATAAAAACAACAATCCTCACGTCCGTATTTATATCTGTAAGGATTCAGTTTTTTTAAAAATAATTCGAAAACTACAGTATGATACGCTTTGGACGATTAAAATCTAAAAAATATTAAAAAATTTTCTTAACCTTCTTTGGATACAAAATGATTTTACCTGAAAAATTTAAAACATTTATTATGAAAGTTTATTTATTTACTGTATTAGTGAAGAATTCATATCATATTTGGAAAAAAAAAGTCAAATAACATGAATAATGTCTGCAGATTGGATGTTAATTTTGAATAATAATTCTAGCTTTAGAAATAAGGAAAAATAAATTTTTAACGTATTATAGAGTTATTTAATTCAAGATTTTTTGATCTTGATTATAATAAATTTCCATTGATAATCTATCACAAAATATCAATTTTTAATTTTTCGCATGCTCATAAATTTAGAAATCATTTTTTCGGTTACACAAGTAAAAAAATCAACAGAAAATTATAAAAAAATTTAAAAACATTAGATAATATTTATAGTATTAAATAAGTTTTATTTATATCGTCAGCAATTCCAATAAATAAATATAAAAAATCATACAAAAATATTGAAGGTATTATACAATAGCAAATTTTAAACGATTGAGAAGAGTAGGTACAATTTCGTGAAATCTATGGACAGGTAAAGCTTCCATCTGGGAGTTTGTTACAGCAGATAGGCGCCCCTCCTCCCCTAGGGTAAGCACATACTGTAGAGCAACAGTCCTTTTGACGTTCAATTTGACATTGTGCACGATGAGGTAAACAGGTAGGAACGACGGAAGTGGAAGTGGAGGTCGAGGTCGAGGTCGAGGTGAAAATTAGAGTAGTAGTTGTAGCGGAGGTTGATGTAACAGTTGGAGCTGGTGGACATGGCGGGAAAACGGTTGGGGTGCAAAAGATGTACTTAATGCATTTGTTTAGATGATGATAGTATTTGCTATCATTTTCATCAGGAATGCAGATAACGCCATCCCTCTTTTTATGGATAAGGGAAGTGGCGGTGGTAGTGGTGGTAGTAGTAGTTGTCGTTGTAGTCGTAGAACTAACGGTAGCCGTAGCCGTGGTTGTGGTAGTAGTTGGACTTGGACAGTTTGAAGGAAGAATAGTTTTAGTATAATCGCGTGTCTTGGTAACGGTACTGCAGTATTGATCTGCGTAGACTGGTAATGATAGAACAAGCATCAAGACAACCGAAATAGTTGTAATGAAAAAGAGGTATTTATTCGTCCACATCTTATAGAAAAAGGCGAAAGGATATGGAAATGAAGATTGAAAATTATTGGGTAAAGCAATTCTAAACAGAATAATAGATACAAGATAAAAATGCAAACGCACTTGGCAAACGAAAGAATCAATGGATCTCGTATATTTATATTCATCTCAAAACTTAGAAAGAATCGGTTTTCTAATAAAGATAGCGGAATAAATGCATTGACAAAGATTATGGCAATATCATAGTAATCCGTTGCGGTTTGATTAAATTACTTTAGAATGACAAGGTTTATGGAAGTATCATAGAAATTGCTCCAGAATGTTCAAGATATAAATAGAACAGAAACAAATAAATAATTTTTATCTCGAATCAATTACGTAAAATCTGCTAAAATTATTAAAATAATACACCGACATTGTTCCCAACCATTAAAATTGCAATGCAGAATGAACTTGTGTGACAAAATAAAGAATTCATTGTTGTATTGTTGTACGTCTTATTAAAGTTTCCAGCTAATAAATGAATAATTACTGCAGACTGATATGCATGCATTTGGCGTTGAAAATTATCGATGCATAATGCATTATAACTATTAAATATGCTGATTGACAGAAATAGATGATAAAAATAATTCTTTCATATTTCCTTATCTATCGAAATTTAAACGTGGAAGGTTAATTATGTTTTAATTAAAATCTTTAACAGTTAATCTTAACTCCGGCAGAAATTAAAGATTTGGGCCAGAATGAAGATACAAAAATTATCCAATATTTCCGGCTCAAGGTTTATCCGTTGTTAGCCGCAGTTAGTACTGTGCCTTAAAATGATCGCCAACTGCGCCAAATATAATACATATTATATATGTAATACATGTATCGTTTAGTCAACTTTATAATACATGTATCGAATAGTTACTTTTTAATATAAATATTATATAGTCTTATTTTCATTACTTATATTATTTTCGTTATATGTATTTATTGAAAGGCGTAGTATAGTATTAGTTAGCAATTTTATATAAATAGACCTGTAAGTTGACCTTGAATCAACAGAGTTTTGCTCAGGGATTGAGATAAGTCTTAGGACTAGACTTATAACTCTACAGTTAATAAAGTTACTATTTTACACTTTCAACCTTCTTCTTGTCTTCATTATAGGATTGATCGTGATAACCTACTACACAAGTGAATCGTGATAATAAATTGTTTTATTTGTTTATCGTTAATTTCTCTTAGGAAAAGCCTTTGAGATAATTGTGTTGTTAAGTTTATTAGTTTTGTTAGCTTAGTTTGAGACGATTTCAGGTCTAACACCGTATTAGAATTGAACCCTGACATATCAATCTCCTCGTTGTAAAGATTTAATATAATTTTTATAACGATAATTGTAGTTAGTATCATTGCTATTTTTTATGTTCATATTTTAAATTGAGATTAATATCATAAAAAAAGAATTATACCATAATTTAAATAAAAAAATATTATCGTGATTTTATAGCATTAAAATTATATAAATGATAAAGAGATATTTACATAATAACTAGAGTTAGCGTTTTGTGGGGTGATTTTTCCTTCTGACTCCTTAAAATTTGACTGTTCTAATACTCAAATATTTTGCTTATCAACTTTACACAACTGATTATACTCAAATCATTAGCTTACCAAATTTATGCTTCTTAACAAATCTCTAGTATGATAATATTTTTAACCTAGCTATTAACTTTATCTATTTCTTAGTAATTCTCAATTTCACAATTATTACAATAATTAATTCACCAAAATTTTCTAAAGCTTTAAGAAATTTTTATTCTAAATCTTTAAAATTTTAATAACAATAATATAATGATAACAATAAAAATTATATGATAATAAATTAATATTATTAATAATAATATTTATAATTAATAATCTTAATAGTAATGATTTAAGTAGTATAAATAATAATAAAATATGATAATAATGATTATAAAATAGTATAAATTATAATAATTTATAATTTATTTAAAAATTTTTAAGTTAAACTATTATTTTTAATTTAATAATTTTTTATTAATTAAACAATAATAGATTTTTTTTTTATATTTAATCTTAATTAATTTTCTAATAATTTTTATTTTTTTTATTTAAGTTTAATGCTATTACTTATTTATAATTTATAAAAAAAAAAAGATATAATAATATTATATTAAACATTATATTTAAATATATTTTTAATTATTATTATTTTTTATTTAATTTTTGATTTTTTAATTTTTTTTTTTTTTTTAAAAAAAAAATAATTCAATCACTTTATAAAACCTTTTATTAGATTTATTATTTAAGTTAAATTATTTATTTTATAATATAAATAATTAATTATTTTTTATTTTTCTAGAATAAAATAATGACTTATATTTAAAATATTATAAAATATAATATTTAATATTTAATAATAATTATAAAATATATAAAATAACTAAATAATAATAGAATTTATTATATAATTTAAAAGATAAAAATTGTTTTATTGAAATGCAATTTAATATTATTATAATTTATAAATATTTAAAATAGTATGATTAGCAGTAATCTTAAAAATATTTTTTTAATTTTTGAATAAAAACTATCATATACTAATAAAATATAAATCTATTAAACTATTTATACTTTAATATAAATTAATGAATTATTAATTAAATTATATTTTAATAAACATAATTATATTATTAACTAGATTAAGATAATTTGTGGTAACTTTATTATTGATATTAATACTTTTTCTATCAAATAAGTTGACTATAATTTGAAATTAAAAAGACAATAACTATGACTTAAATCTAATTAATTTGATATAATATTAATTAAAAAATTTATTTAGTTAATAAGAATAAATTTATATATTTTATATTTGCAAAATATTATTGTTATTTATTATTATTATTGAATGTATATTAAATATAATATTAAAATTTGTCTTTTTTTTTAAGACATTTAATTATTTTAATAAAAAAATTAAATTAAATTTATAAATTTGATTTTATTAAAATCAACTAGCAATTTTACTCAAGTAATATCTAAAATTGCTATCTTAATAATAAAAATAAAGATTTAATAAATTTAAAATAAAAAATAATATTTTTATAAATATTTCATTTTTTTTTAATTATTTTAATTTGAAATATTATTTTTTTTATTTTTTATTTTTATTTTTATTTTTTTGTATTTTTTGATTCATTTAGATTAATTTTAATATTTTTTTTAATTTAATTTAATTATTTTTATTTTTTATATTTTTTAATTCATTTAGATTAATTTTAATTTAATTTAATTAATTTATATTTTATATTTTATTTTTTTAATTTTTCTATCCTTCATTCTTTTTTTTTATTTGTATTTATTATTTTTATTATTTTTTTATATTTTTGATTTATTTTTTTTAAATAATTTTTATATTTTTTAGTTTATTATTTTTTTTATTGTTTTTTTTAATTTTACTTTTTTTACTTTATTTTTTTTTAATTTTTAATTTTATTTATTAATTTTTTTAAGATATTTTTATTAATTTTAAATTTTATTTTTTTATTTTTTTTATATTTTTATTATTTTTTATTTTTTTTTTATTTTTTTATTCTTATATTCTGTTTTTATTCTTATTTTTTATTCTTATTTAGAATTATTTAATAATAAAAAATAATAAGAAAATAAGATAAAAAATAAAAATATTTTGGTATAATATTTATTTTTTAGCATTTTATATATAGATTATAGCTAAAAGATTTATTCAAAGTATTATGCTCATATTTATTAAAAAGAGCAGAATCAGCTTAATCTACAAAATTAAAAGAACTATTATCTATTAATTATTAATTAAAATAATAAAAATTACTTATCTTATTGCATTATTATGATGAATTAAAATGATAGTTCTATTATTCTAACCTACATAATTAAAAATCTAAAAAACAAACAAAATTATTAATCAATAATTATTAATTAATTTATTATTAATTAAATCAATAATTAATAATAGAAATAGATAATATATAATATTAGAAAAACTAACAATTAAAAACAATTTCATTTATGTATTTAACTATACTATCATAAAAATTCAAATCCTTTTTTTTAAAATAATAAAAAGAATATTAAATAATCTTTATTCCTTAAGATAAATTTTTCCTTTATCTTTATTTCTATCTTATCTACCTTTTAGTATTAGGATTAATATTAATATAAGTATAAGTTTCAGTAATAGTATTAGTATTAATATTAATATTAATATTAATGTAAGTATTAGAGTTAGTGTTAGTATTAGTATTAGAATAAAGTAAAATAAGATATATAATAATATTCAATGATTAGCATTATATAAATTACCTAAAAAAAAATTTTTATCACTCAAAGATTCAGAAATCCAATTCATACTAATAAAATCATATAAAAAATTTTTTTATCATAATAAAAATTCTTCTCTATTATAGTATATTAATAATTTATAATAAATATTAAATTAATATAATTAATTTTAATATCATTAAAATTAATTAGTATTAAAGTATTTAATTATTATATAAACTTATTAATATTTTTTATTCATTTTTTACTAAAGTTTATAAACTAATTTTTAAAAATAGATTCTAATTTTTAAAATTTTAAAAATTTACAATAATATTTAATATTATAATAATACTAGTCAAAATAAGAAATTTTAGCTATATAATCATTTAGTA